CAGTTTTTATCTCACTCTGTATAGCAAGTTGTAAAGAATCGCTTACTTGTTTCGCAAGTTATGACAGATGTAAGTATTGACAGATATAACTATTGATCTTGTGGTAGCAAAAGCTTGTTTGTATGTGTGAAATTTGAAGAGAGTTGGATGCTCATTTCGCTTCCTTTGAGCATATTGTTTTTCAAATCTTGAACCCTATGTGGGGGAGGTACCAGAAGAAATGGTCGGATCTCTATAACAGCTCTTGTGTAGATGGAAATGTTGAGATGTACCAAGTCTGAATGGAATCGGATGTTAATTTCGCGTTTTTTGAGATGTATGGATATTCAAAATTTTGAACCTTTGTGGGGGAGGTACCGAAGGAGTGGACCGATATATCGCATCTTCACACCAGGCCTTGGGTTAGCAAAAATATTCATGTGTGGAATTTGAAGACAATCGGGCTAATACATCACATCTTATAAGATTTATTTATTCAAAATTTTAACTCTTTTGGGGGGAGGTACTCGATGGAGTGGACCGATATTGTTCATTTTCACATATGTAGCAAAATATTTATTTGAAAATTTCGAACTTTTGTGGTGGAGGTACCAGAAGGAGTAGGCCGATATGCCCATCTTAGAACTCAATCTATGTTTGATAATAGTATTACGATGTACCAAGTTTGCTCCAGATCGCATATTCCCTTCGAGAGTTAACATGAGCACAGGCATACAGGCGGACGAACGGACATCGCTATATCGACTCCAAATATCGGAAACTCCCTATGAGAGTTATCGTACGCACAGACAGACGGACGGACGGACATCGCTATATCGACTCCAAATGTCCTGAAACGGATTTGGTCTAAAACCGTTATTTTGATGAGGCACGTTTTGGCCGTATCAAATTATATATATACTGTCTATAAAAAGAGAAGATATTCAGGAATACTATAACCGATTGGCCTCAGATGCATGGCCGAAGTCCCATAGACAACAACGTATAAATGCGATATCGAGGAGCAGTTTGTGGAATATTACGTATATGATATTATGACACATTGACGATTCATCGATTTTCAACGACACTCCAACAACGTTTTGATGCCTAACAAACGTGCCTTTACCTAAAATGATTTCAATTTGGGTGGATGACTTATCGACGATCTATGGAAGCCTATCTGTAGACAATATTTGGAGGACGTATAGACTATCGGTGACTTTTTGTAACGAGATGATTCCATCACATCACATAAGAACACACAACCGTATCCATGGCATCAGTAATAACAACAAAACGACTTTAGCAATTATATTCGTTCGCCGCGTAATAGACAATTCAGCTTTCGGCCTTTAACCGTATAAGGCAAAAAATTATCATGAGATTCCGCATGAGGTTTGGCTTGTTGTTCCGCATTATACCTCAAACATTCGAAAGGTAGTCATAATCCATTAGAGCTAAATAGAATAATTTCCTAGCCATTGTAGGCGAGCTGTCCTGTTCCTATGTTCCTAACATATGCACATTAAGCTGTTCCCAAACATACCTACCGTGACCTACCGAACCCGAACAACACGGAATCCCTGATTATCTACCTCTTGCCAGCTCGATGGCCACTAATTGCATTTCCCGATTGCCTTCAAATCGTTACCAACTCGAGCGCAAGCGTCATTCGAACACAAACACCTGAGTACGAGTACCCGATCAAGTTCGAATCGTTGGCCAAACACATTTGACATCAACCACCGAAGTACCACACGTGAAATATGTGACATCGCTACATCATAGTTCCCGATTGTCCACTAGTTGTTCACCCCCTTGCCTACGAGACATCCTAAGTGTCGAATTCCTGATCACCAATTGAACCACTCCGATTTGGGTTCTCAAGTATTTCAGAAGTCAATTCGCTATCCTATATTTTATATTCATCTTATCGCATAATATAGATCGTAATTTAGTATTTAAAACAATAAAACATCTGTTTTACACCTCCATGAAAGGAAGATATCTACCCTTCTTATTTCATAAGGTTAATTTGTCCTTATGGAGACCCTGCACGCATCTGAGATGACCTTAGCCGATGAGAAAACCACTTTACGCAATTGACGGCCGACCAAAGTAATGTCGATGGTCTATTGATGATTTACCTATCATATCCCGACATTCTATTGAGGTTCTACAGACGATCTACGACTTATTAACAACCAATCAATGACATACCAAAGACCTGAAATTTAAGACCCATCGATGACATTAAGATCAAATGACGGCAAGTAGATATTCTTCAGAATTCATATCGATGACCTACCTATCCTCGAAGTCCTTACATAAGTCCTGTTCGGCCTACTGTCATGCCAAGTCTTTTATAAGGACAACTTATCAATGGTATATCGACAATATACATATAACATATCGTCATCAAATGGCTCTTGTAAACGTGTTATAGCATGGATTATAAAACCTTTTTAGATCTTCCTAACGCATCATGATACCACCTTTCCTATTTTGGGTGTATAAACCTCTTTAAGACCTTTCAAATACAAGCAATATAAACCCCTAGAATCTCCAGTTCTCTGAGATATTAATTAGGCAATATGACCTCTATGGTTTATGGTTTTATGTTTTTTCCGCATCAATCACGGGTTTTTCTGTTTATTGCTAAGGTTCTTTTAAATTACACCTCTGGGTCTCATTTCCCAATCAATTAGTTGCATTCGAACAGGCGGAGAATACTTTCTTGTTATATTTGTCTAATTGTTACTCATTTTTTAATTTCCTCGATGGTTTTGCCACAAGAAAAGTTCCCATACCCCTCTTCATTCTCCTTTTTTCGGCCTTGTCACTTTTTCCCTGCAACGTTTTGAAATGAATAACTGTATTAAAGAGAAATGAATACTTAAACCTTAAAAAAACGCCATCGGCAGACTTTGATTCTGTCATCATCATCTCCCGAAATGAACTATGTTAATAATTCCAGAATGTCGCCAACCACAACATTTTAAATTATGCAAAGTATTTACCAGTCATTGTTACTGTAACCAACATTTCAGTTCTTTTTTGTTCACAGACTACTGGTCCATCATTATCATGGCGAATAGCTAGACATCACACAGACGCTATTGCTGACAGAAACCTACAGCAACATTTCAACGTATTTTATAACCTAAAAAACAAGGCTATAAGACGAGACCACAAACCGACAGACACCAGCTGGCTACAACGTTTTTTCTATCAACATAAATTTGCATGTCTTTTTCGAAATTGAACGGCACAAAAAAGTGTGATGAAAATAGTCGAAGACGTGTAGAAGCAAAACAAAAATCTATTTTACATTACAAATCATCAAAGTCATCAACACTGAAAATGGAATATATTTTCCATCTATTTTGTGTGAGGGGTAAGGGGGTACAAGAAGGTGGAAAAAGGTAACAAGTTTTTGTTTTTTTCCTTTTCATTAGACAGCAATAGTATTGACGGAACAGTAAGTCTTTGTATGATGTGTCTGATTTGTAAGGAAGTCGTGTTTAAATATTTCTGTCCGAAATGTAGAAATAAAGGTTGCCATTTCAGATTTTGAAGGTTTTCTATATTATTCAAGTTTTTCCTTCATTTGAAAGAATAATAGGAAAATGTTTACCTTTTCAACAAAAAAGTATTCAAAATATTTCATCATGAAGTTGACCGAGGAGGATATTTGTAAAACCATTGCAGAATGGACCCACATCCTACTTTTCTATCGGAAAATATTTTAACGTCTCCATATGTAAACTAAAGAAACCAACAGTGACCTCACTATCAAATTTCAGAATATAAGCTCTATTCCCTCACCCAATACCAAATGTAGTAACATTTAGTGCGCATATTCAAAATAATATCCTCCTTCCATCCTAGACACCAACAGTACCATGTAGTACTTTTTGAACAATTCAAAACCATCACCAGATACCACCAAAGACCTAAAATATCACATTTCAAGATTCCAGCTCTATACCTTCACCCAATACTCAATTTTGTACCACTTATATTATACATTTCCGAAACCAATTCCCTATTTCAATCCCAAATACCAACAGAGACCTCAATATCAAATTCCAACCCTATATCTTCAATACTTTTCGAACAATTCTAGTACACATTTTCAAACTTATCTCCATATCTCAACCTCAGATACCACCAAATTTCAGTTTTTCGCCTCTGTAATTGCCAACAAAGAAAGATAACTCAATATCAAATTTCGGAATTTCAGCTCTATAGATTCACTGAGTACCAAATATATATAACATATATACAGTTATATGCACATTATCATAACAATTTCCATAACTCAATTCCATAAACCAACAGAGATCTCAATATCAAATTTGAGTATTCAAGCACTATCCCTTCACCCGATACAAAATTTACTACTTTTCGTACAAATATGGAACGCCAACAGTGACATGCATTTCAAATTTCAGGATTTAAGCTCTATTACTTCACCCAAAACCAAATTTAGTACTATTTAGTACTTTTCCTACAATTATGGTACACATTTCCAAAATCACCACCAGATCTCAACCGCCTTCATGAATCAAACTTACATTCCAAACTAATTCTCATACAAAATTTCCAGTTTTTAGCCTTAACCATTCACATAATACCAAATGGTACAAATTTAGAAGTTTAGTAACATTTTAGAACTTTTCCCAGATTAAACGTTTGAATTCCCAATAACCCTTTGGTGCATTTACCCTGCACTCCATCAGTGACTCTCTTTCCAAATTTCAGAATTCCAGCTCCAACGGTTCATCACAACTCCAATTTTTACCAAATTTAGTACCATATAGTAAAGATAAGTACCAATTTCCAAAATTTCATACATAACCCAATCCAACACTCCAACAGTAATCTTGATTTCAAATTTTCAGGATACCAGGTCTATTGGTTCACCCAAATTCAAATTGCACTTAATACGAAATAAATGCAACTGATTTTTAAAATACCGAATGAATCAAGTGTTTCTATAAACTATTTGTTTACATTTCCTTCATTTGTGTCAAACGTTAGCAAGCATAACCAAAAGAAAAACGTTTTGAATATTTCAAAAACAAAAAAAAAAAAAAGAATTATAATATGGAAAACGAATGTGCAGAAAGGTAAGTAAATATAAAAACATAAGAATAAAACCCATGATCTTTTTTTGTTTACAGAAAATTGATTAGGCAAAAAAGAAAGCGGTGGTCGACAGATGCTGAAGACATATTATTGTCCATATGGGAAAAAAATCTTCCGAAAATCAGAGGCGTGCGTAAAAACTCTCACATATATAGTGAGATGTCCACAGAATTGGCAGCAAGTGGATTTAACTATGATGGGGAAGAAGTAAAAAACAAAATACACAATATTACAAACAGATACCGGTAAGAAATGTTGATGAAGATGCAGTCTTTATACGGACCTGCACCGTACTCTTGTCCAATGCTAATTGTGGCGGTTGTTTCATCTTGACCGGTTGTTTATACCCACAATGTATATATATTCTTGATCAGCATACAATTCTGTGTCGATTTAGTGTCTGTATGTCCGTCCGTGGAAACCCCGCTAGCTTTCGAACTAAAGGAAGTTGATATCGAAGATGGACCACATAGGTCCACGTTTTGGTATAGTCCTCACATAACTGTACATCCCTATATCCTTTATTTTACCGACATTATTCGCCGGAATTGTTTCCAAATGATTTTGCGTAATTCAAATAGTCACATAAAAAGTTCAATGTTTTCCATTTATTATATTCTAAAGTATTGACATAATGTTTTCTTTTCAGTGAAGAAAAGAAGAAAATTGGCCCTTCTGGTGGATCGCCTTCAAACTGGTGTTTGTATGAGCGGGTACATGGAATACTTGGCGGATACAAATTCCACAATATACAAACGGTTGTTGAGGAAAGCATAGGTATGTTTAAGCATATATGTATGCATATAATATTTATTCCAAAATACAACAATTTTGTATTTGGTAAATAAATCTGCATTTTGCTACCTGTAGTGGATTTAGGTAACCTTTTTTCGGAGTCACCGACACAAATCGATAAAACTAAAATGCAATATTCAAATAAAACTACTTTACTTTGGTCGTTAACATGTCGAAAATTATCGCTATTTAACAAAATTGTGAGCATTTTAATTTTGAAGATTTTGTCGGTAACTTAAAAATGACTTAGAGTGAGTGTGTGGTTAGCTCATATTCGTAACAACCACAAAGATATTGCCTGATGGTATGCATTTTTTTGTAGATACGCCTTTTGTGGAATTTGTCGATGATGAATCTATTGAGTGTATTGAAATTTTAAGTTGCGATATGGAAAGTATGGAAGTTCCTGTTGAAGCATCAAAACCAAAAAGAGCGAAGAAAAGTGACAAAGAAAATAGTAAAATAATTAAACAAAATATAGATGCTACTAACAAGGAGTGAGTAGAGTGTGTTAAATATATGAATGATTTAACTGAAAAGGGACTCAATATACAAAAAGTCATTGCTGAGACCGAAAAAGAGCGGAACGAAATCCTTAAGGAATTTGTAGATATTTTTAAAAATAAAAATTCCAAGTAAATTACAAATATTTTTTGTAGTATAAATACATTGATCATAACAATTATAATAATAAATATCACTTAAAATTGTTATGCTTTTGTAAGAATTTTAGCTATAATGTAATGTATTATTTAATACAAATGTACATATGAATATAATTCATTATTATTATTATTTAAATACTAACTCATTCTGTTCCATTTTCAATCTTATTTAAAATAAATACATTTAATAAATACTATTATTCTAGTGTGAAATCTACATTAATAAAACTGGACATTTTGGGTGAGGATCACTCTTGGTCCGAAGGGGTCAAATAAGGTTGGGAAAGTTGGAAATTCGGTAGGAAAAGTACTGAATATGATACCCTTTGTATTTAATGAACCAGTAAATTAGAACAATATACTTAATTTTCTTGTTATTGCATTTTTATTTGCTTTTATTTTCCTCTCTTTTATATATATTTTTATGAATAGTTTTATTTAAAATGTTATTTATTAAACATATTTCGAATTTGAGACTGTTCCCGTTGATATTATTAGCTGTGTTCTCTTAATTCGTTTCACAAATATTTGATTACAAGGCGGATTGTTGTTGACCTGCTTCGAGCTCTAAAATACAGTATTTAGAAACAAAACCTAAAATACATATTTATTACCATTTTCCAAGAAAAAATCTGCGAGAGCATTCCTTATTTCTCCGGCTTTGCCATAACTGCCATTTCGAGGAATTTGAGGGATATCATTTCGGTTTATTTCGATTTCTTCTAACCATTTTTGGTTTATTGGGTCATTATGTTCATTTACAAAGTTGTGCAATACTGTGCAACACTTTATAATATTTTTTGCATTTTTTAAATTGTTTTCAATTCCTCTTCCTATCCTTCGGAATCTTGCCTTTAAATGGCCGAAGGCGTTTTCCACAACTCTTCGAACTTTTGAGAGGCGATAGTTGTATAATTTCTCCTTCTCTGGAGAAGAAATTGAGAATGGGAATGGCTTCATAAGATATTCCGAAAGTTGGAAAGCGGAATCCCCAATGATGAAAACTGGAACATTAACACCATTTATGTTTCTGCAATGCCTTTGAAAATCTGGACTTTGAAGCATTGACTTAAGTTTACTATTTTCATATATATAAGAATCGTTGCACCGACCTGGTGCACCGACATTTATATATATGAAACGAAACCTAAAATTAAGTGATATGACTATTTATAAAAATGTTGGTTAGTGTTTGTTGACCATTACCTATAGTCCACTAAAGCCAACAGGACCATGGAGTACCAGCCTTTATAATTATAGTGGTCATATGCCTCATTTTTTGGAGGTTTGACTTCAATATGGCATCCATCTAGGGTAATTTTAAAGTATTTAATGGTCTCTTATAGAATATATTTTATTTAGAAAAACTTACCAAGGGCTCCAAAACATTGAGGAAAGCCCATTGCTTCGAATCCTTTGACATTTTCATCTATCTTGTTCTCTGTAGCAATGTTGCAGGGTAGGTAGTCCGAGGATAAAACTTCCCACACCTTTACACAAAATTCATTAAATATGACACAGACAGTAGCTTTGGATACGCCAAATAGGCGTCCTATTGTAGCGAATTCGGCGGAAGACCTCAAAGTGTACAAAGCTATAGCTACCCTTTTTTCTAATGGAATGCACTTCCGAAAGTAGTGTCCCGCTTTTCTAAGGAACATAGTCGTTGACATAGGATTCTAAAACATTCTCGACTCATCCGGAAGCTTTCTTTAAAAAAACTTTCTGTGCATCTGGGTATATCCAATTCAAAAAATTTCCCTTGCCGTTCCTGCATTATTTATGTGAAAACGATATAGAATGTATCAACCGGATAGTACCAAAATAATGCAGTACTTACGAATTTCCATATCCTCCTGGAAGCTTTTAAACTGCTTTGTTGTTCGCTACGTTTTTTTATTAAAATTATAATTTTGAACAAAATTTTCCTTTGTTTCAAATTAATATATTGCAGATATTGTCTGTTTTTCTGCATTTGAGCACAACATTGGATAAAAAGATTTTTGAAAATTTCAATTTTTTCCATTTTAACGAATAGAATTTTAAATTTGAATGTTTTTCTTTTCAGTATTGTTGTATAAATAAACTGTCATTTATACCCTCTCAACGGTATATGTAAACAAACAGGGTTAACTCACTAGATCTATAAAACCCACTGGATTAACCTTTAATACAGTAAACGTACTTCTACACACTGACAGTAATCTCAAGTCCAAATTTCAGGATTCCAGCTCTATCGACTCACCTAAGTCCAAATTGTAACAGATTTAGTAAATTTTAGTACGCATAAGTACACATTTCCAAATCAACCTTCATATCCCAATCCTATACTCCGACAGTAATTCAATTTCCCTTTTCAGGATAACAGCTCTATTGGTTTACTCAAGTCCAAATTAAGTACATATTTTCATAGCTAACTACATTGTACAGTTCAATAGAAATCTTACATTCACATTTCAGGATTCCAACGCTACCGTTTTACCCAAAATTTCAATTGTACCAAATTTAGTATTATTTAATGCACATAAGTACAAAAATGCCTACATACCTCAGTCCTACAATGCAATAGTAATCTTATTTCCAAATTTCAGGATTTCAAATGTATTGGTTCTTCCAAAAAAATTAAATTGTACCACGTTTAGTACCATTTTATTTCCAGTAATTTTATTTCCAATTGTCAGGATTTCAGCTCTATTGTTTCACCAAAATGCATATTGTACCAAATTTAGTACACTTAAGTACAACTGTTGATAATTACATACATTATAAAGTCCAACAGAAATGTTGTTTCAAAATTTCAGGGTTTCAACTTTACTACCATTTAGTAAGTACGAATTTCTCAAACTACCTACATTCCTCAGGCCAAAAATGCAATAGTAATCTTATTTCTAAATTTAAGGATTCCAAATGTATTGGTTTTCCCTAAAATTTATATTGTACCACATTTAGTACCATTAAGTACACGTAAGTACGAATTTCCAAAACTACCTATATTTGTCAGTCCTAGAATGCAATAGTAATCTTACTTCCAAATTTCAGCATTCCAACTCTATTGGTTCATTCAAATAGATATTGTACCAAATGTTGTACAATTTAGTATACATAAGTACGAATTTCCAAAACTACTTACATTCCTCAGTCCTAGAATGCAATAGTAATCTTTTATCTTAATTTCAGAATTCCAAATCTATTCGTTCTCCCAAAAATTTATATTGTACCACATTTATTACCATTAAGTACACGTAAGTAAGAATTTTCAAAACTACCTACATTCGTTAGTCCTAGAATGCAAAATTTTATGATTCCTATCTATATCTCAATGCTACATTCCGCCAGTAATGTTAATTTAAAATTCCAATATTCCAGCTCCTTCTGTTACTCCAATTTCGTACTAAATTTAGTACCGTTGGTACTTTTCGTATTCTAGAGTACATACTTCCAAAACGATCTCTTTCTACCTACCCTACTCCTCAACCTTGATTCATATTGCTTTTTGGTAGTATTATGTCTATCTAGTTCATAGTATACCAATTCATAAACGTATGAGTAATTTCATAAATTAAATATCACTCATACGTAGGTTTTCACACAAACGAGTCAACGGTACTAGATAAAAAATAGTTCGTTTGCTCGAACTACGATGGCACAACTTTACTGTTTAATTTAAAATTCGTGTTGTAGGGGTATCACAGGGTCGCCCCTACCCGTGACAGCCTTTTAATTTATCTTTGTATTCCTATTTCACACTAATTCTATTATTAGCTAATTAAAAAAGAAGCTAAAGTCACAATCAACGAAACACATTCCAAAGTATCAGAACTTTTCGGAAATCGTAACAAAAACTGTCAAACTCTTTACTTTTCCCATTGTTTATAACAAGAATGTCACAATGAAATGATAACTTTCATTAACACCCTTTTTTGTCATATTCTCAAACACTTCAGCATGGTTTCTTTCAATGTGTGAGTAAAAAGATCAGAAAACATTTTCAATGGCATCAGGATAAGAATAATTAAATTTAAACATGCTTTCCCTTTTTTTTGTGAATTTGCGAATTCCTTAGAGATTTCTTATCTGTCGAGAAAAGAAACCTCATGGATTGTCGTGTCAAGAAAAGTGACTGAATGAGTGAGTGAATTACTGAATGTTGAAACACAGCCCTATCACGACAGGGATAAAGATTTGCCAAACATGTTCCCAATGTTGATACAAACGTGTAAATGAGGGGAAAAGTAATGGATAAATTGAAAATGAAAGGTCATGTAGCAAAACAAACAACTTAAAGGTGAACAATACTTATTTAAGATATAAGTGTGTTAGTGATATATAAGTGAGAAAGTAAGAAGTTTGAAGCATTTAATTTTGATTTGGAATGACTTGTAATTATGTGGTAGAAAATCTTCTTGGAATCTTCATGAAAACTCTTGGTGATTCCATTTAAAATATTAAAAGATAAATATATACAAAAACAATTAAAAAAAGTTTTAAATTACTTACCTTAAAAGCAATGAAATCTAGATTCGGATATAACACAATCACTCTGGTATATTCATTTAAAAGGAGTACATACGGCCGGCCGAATACCCTCCACAATTTGGAAGGAATTTGCTAACTTAAACAAGTTAAAAGTTCAGCCGGGCCGAACTTTGAATACCCTCCACCATTTGGAACGAATTTGGAAATTTTCAAATAACAATAAATTTCAATGAAACAGTAATGACGCTGAAATCGTCAAAGTACCGAATATCGGGAGGTACCGTTATATGGGGGCTATACGAAGACGTGAACCTGCATACAACATTTTTTGTCGTAGGCTGTAGTACCCATTACGAACTTCAAATACGAAATTTGAAAAAAAAATCCGGTAAATAATGTCGCTAAAGTCATCAAAATACTGAATATCGGGTTACCGTTATATGGGGGCTATATGAAAACGTAGACCTGCATGGCCCATTTACGAACTTAACCTGCCTACTGAAAA